TAAGTATAATATAACCTTTCCATATTTCATCAAAATTGAAATTTGTTTACCTTGGTCTCAAAAGGTGGCCACTCTGGAAGTTGTCTAATTTTAACAACAAAATAAACACACAAGTTTATACATATACATAATTTAAAACTAATAAAACAATATAAATAATATTATACTGATATTTACCATCCTATTTGTTTATACTTCCATGTTTGTTTTGTATATTGAATATTATACTATTTTTAATATACATAAATATACTTGAATGATTTTAATTTTAAATGTTTATCCTAATTATTTCTTTAAAGAAAAAGAAATTACAATTATTTTAAAACTAAAATATACAATAAAGCTTATAATTTTTATAAAGGTTTATTTTAAATGTATTTCTAACATCAATATTTGTACGAATTAATAAAATCACGTAACTGTAGTTTATAAAATATAATACTATTAATCTACATTTTTCAATTTTTTTTTTTTTTATATACTAAAACTGTATTTGTAAAGTTAAAATGATTAACCATTGTACTAAATAAAAAATCTCAGTAATATATTATATATACTTTTATAATAACATTTAATTTAAATAAAATTTAATTTTTAAATGTAAAAATTGAATATTGCTTATAAATGTAAAAAATAAAAATGATATAATTTTACAGTTTTAAATATATGTGAAAAAATATCTACCTATAAACTGTGTTATATTCTCGTACTTTGTTTTAATTGTTTTTTTAACGGATTTTAAAACTTTGCGCAACATTTAATAAATGTACCTATTTTGATTTAAAATTGTTTCAATCGTTCTGAAATAAGTACTCAAAAAACATTTTTAAAAAATTATCCTTTCTCTGATTTATAATGAAACAATACAGTACACATGCACTGTTGTATGTAGTATATTCTATATTAAATTAAGAAACAAATATTTGAAGCATGTTTTTTTTTTTTAGTTTTGAATAATATTCTAGGTTTTATCCTTTTTTTTTCTGTTAATTTAACTTTTAGTGATTCATTGTATATGAAGAATAAAAACGAAACGTACCCTACAAAAATTGCTAATTTATAAAGAAATTCACATGAATGTATCTCAAATTATCTTTCTTATAATAATATACCAGTTCATGTACACCTCAATTACAACAGTGATATTAATATGTTTGTTATGACAAAATAAACAGAAATATATTTATAATTCAAAAATGTCTAAAGAATAATATTTTGTGAGTATGTATATATAATAATAATATGTATTTTACTTCAATACAGTAGCGTTGCCAGAATTTTTGAATGGGAGGGGGTTAAGGCTTAGTTATATACCAGTGATGGAAAACTCATAATTTTAGAGAACCAAAACATAGACTACAAAAAGAAAAGGCCATTCAAAATATTTATTTTAATTAGAATTATTTTGGTTATAATGTAAAAGTATTTAAACTGCATTACATTAACCACAGTCTTCTTGTTTTTATCGCTTATTTACTGAATAATTAAAAATATTAAAATAATTAAATAAAAATTAATGGGGGGGGGGGTGTTACAACACCTAAACTCCCCTTCAGCTAAGCCACTACTTTTATAATCCATATATTATCATCAATAACTATTAAACAGTTTATCGTTAAATAATTATTTTATTTGATTATAATAGTTATAAATATTGTATACTATTATTTATTATAAGCCCATATCAATCTTAAAATTGCAATTTTTTGATATACTGACATGTTTGTGTGTTAGATGGTCATAAAAATGTTTAAATACGATACATAAAAAAATAAAAATGAATATCGTCACTAATTTATTTATTACTAAATAAGTAGAATTCATTGTGTAGGAAAATAATATTTTTAATTAAGAATAGCATAAATATAAATGTGATAGATAAAAATTATAATATAATAATAATTATTATAATTAATGGAAGTAACAAACTTTTAGTTTCAAAATGAAAAAATTATTAGCAGGAAGCTACCTATTTAAAAAATAAAATAAAGTATATATCCTTTTTTTTTTTTTTTCATAAGATTTTTCCTTATTATATATGTGTTTTCAAAAATAATACATAATGTGTTTATTGTTAGTTAATAATTTAACTTTGTAGACTTTATAACAGATTACCTAATTCAAACAATAATAGTCAAGTTTCTGTCATTTAAATTTACTTAAAAACAAGCGAGACTGAGTTTTTGTATAATATTATGTTAATCATTTATTGATTTTATTTTAATACGTGAAAATGAACTATATTACGATCACTGCAAAAATTGAGTTACAAATATGATTTCTGAATACTTGTTAGGAACTGTCTCGATGTGTAAAAATAAATCCATATTTTATATTAGTATATAAAATGGATTTAAACTCAATTACGATTTTATAAGTGGGAAAGTTTCTACCGTACGTTTGAAAATAATCGTAAATAACGTAATATGAGATAGGTTAGAATAACATTCAATTCTTTAAAACTGTATTGGATGGTTTAAATATTTGTAATGAAAATGTCTACATTTCAATATTATAGAATTCAAAAAAATTCAAAAAATATTGACTGCTGTGGAACATAATATATATTGATAAATCAACAGTAAACTGTGAATTAATAATAAAAAGTCAAAAACTTCTCCAAATACCTATTGTAAAAAAAAAAAAAAAAATAAAAAAATAAGTACTAACTCACCATCAGTTATATGGTTTTATTATAATAAAACTTTTTGAATATGTTACTGTGTAATTGTATTTAATAAAAAAAAAAGCTTTAAGGCTATATTATTATAGTAGTATGTGGATGTTATTTGTCAATGACTTTAGAATTTAATTTAATGGTATTCGTATAAACAGGCTTAAATATAATAATATTTTGTTGGTAAATAGGTCGGGGTGTTGTCGATGGGTTTTGAGTTGGTTATAATTTTTGATGAGAGACCGATGTAATTGGGGAGAAACCCACGGTCGATTATTACATATGATTATTAAATTTATGACACCCTACAACGTATTATGCGCACTTGGGAGAAATAACGATACTCTAATATACTATAGCATTTCCTCTCTTGTCAACTCAAAGGTAAATTGGAAACAGGATAGTATGTTTCTAGGTAGATTTGTAGATGTTTATGTATGCATATAAAATTGGTTGCTGGTTCAATTTTACATCCAATTTTGAGTCCTAGAAGGGAATAAATTATAAGTTTTCTGGGTTCTGTTAAATTAATAGGCAACCGAAAAGAAAAAAAACAACCATTTTCTTTACGTCAACCCACTCAGTTAAGTTGAGCAATATTTTCAAATTGTTTGTAACGATAAAAAAAAATAAAAAAGTTTGATTCATTTACGATTAAACAAGTTTTTTTAACACAGTTCTAAATTAATTTTTGTTATAACTGTTTTGTTTAACTTTTTATTTGGTTTTTATTTTTTAAGAATTTAAGTTCACTAGCTGTACAAATAATCATTTATTGAGTTTCATAATATATTGAAATAAATTTAAAGTTTTTTATTTTAGAAATATCATATATAAATACATTTTTTTAATAATGAGCACCATGATTTTTTTAAAAAATAATATGGTATTTACATTAAATTAAATATGAAGATTATTTTTATTTATTAATTTTATTTATTTGAATACATTTTATGAATTACATCATTAGGATTTTAAAAATAGAATTTATAAAACAACATTGTTTAATTTCTATCATGATAGTAAAAACTTCTTATAAAATGACAATAGTTAACTACCTAATATAATTTTTATTATTTTTGTTTTTACTATCAAATACTTAACAGATAGATTTTACAGATGTAATCGTATTTATTTGGAATAATGGTTTTTATTAGATTTTTAGTGTTTACATATTCATACGTTTACAATAAAATCATAAACGTTTAAAATAATTTTGTGTCTCTATTAATTGTTTCAAATTGCTTGTCTTGACTCTAATTTAAGCTACAGATACAAACGCAAAGGAAAAAGCCGGTCTTTGAATGGTATTTAATCAAACGTTCCAGAAATGTATACACGAGATTTGCATTGAGGGGTTAAACCACTGGTTTCAGAGACCCCAGAGACCCTAAAGTTTTAACGCTTTCGAACTAAAAAGTGATTTATTATTTTAGCTTCGGAACAAACATTTTTTTTTCTCATTTTCATTCACTGATTATTTGAACACTATATTATCATTATTATTTATGAATTTCCATCATTTAACAACTTTTTTTTATGTATTTATTTTTATTTTTTAAAGTATATAATTTAGTTTTTGATTCATCATTAAAATGTATTACGATAAAATTACAATAACTAGTATTTATTAATATTATAATAATTAGATAATATACTTAGACGAAAAAATGGAATGTTCTATAGTTAGTTTAATAATAAATCAATATGTAACATATTATCCATGTTTTATAGGAATTTAAATAATTGAATACTTCAAAAAAAAAAAAAAAAATAACATATTATGCACTATGAATAATAATGGTTACTTAGATATTTTAAAGACATTAAACTATACTTTTTTAATAAGTTAACATTTAAGAAAAGTAAAAATAAAAAAATAAATACTTTTTTCTCTAATCAAAAAAAAGAATGTGCTTATGATATTTTACTACAACGAATCAATGGTAATCTCTCTGTTAAATAAGTTTCATGAACAATATCTTAAGTATTTCTTGATAGTGAAGTAATAAATAAATGTTTTATAAGAGAAATTTCTGTTTAAATAATATTATCATAATTTGATGTTGATTGAGTATAATATAATTAATAATTCATTATTCGTCTAATTTTAAGGAAAATATAATGAGATGGATACTATTGAGTTAACAGAGTACCTAAAAATAATCTTGAATCGTGTAACTGAAATTTAATTTTATGATTTATAGTTGTTTGCCATACAAAATGCCAATATTATCACCAATTCAATTCTAATAACATTTTAACTTTTTCCTTTAGCCATTAATATCAAAGTTTAATATTTTCCCCCTTTTTTTTTTTACAGAAATTATGGAGTTCCTGTGACAGCCAAAACGTAAGTGAAATTAACTATTATATATATATAGACGCTTATAAGTTATATTATTAGGTACAAGTGTACAAACTTATGAATTATTATAGAAATATAGATTAATACAAATTTTATATACTAATATAGTAATATATCAGTATAACTTTATTGATTGTGTTACGCAATATACACAAAAATGGTTTATACGAGTTTAATTTTATCAACCTATTATCAAAGTTTATCAATTTATTTTTCACCAATAAAAAAAAACAATGCAATGAAATGTTGAATAAAAATATGAATGGTGTAATAAACTTTGTAGTAAAGCTTTCACCAGTCATATAGTTGATCATAAACCACAAAGTTAGGGTTACGTTATAACTTATGAAACAGTTGATACATTATGATTCACGAGAATTGTGTTTTGTTCTACTTCAATTAAAAAATTGTAGACTTCATATGCACATGTCCAACTAGCAACCATTTATTTGTTCATATATTTTCTATAAAAATAAAATGTCAAAATAGTTTCAAATGAACAATACGAACAAGAATATAATGTATAATATGAATTATAACTAATATTATTGTATAGTATAATATTTCATTGTATAATGTTATATTATTAGTTAGACCAAGTTTCTTAGTATAAAACGTTTTATTTTTTGTTTTTATAAGGAACGGAAAACAAGTATTTGATTTAACCACTTTCCTTAACATGATGTGTGTTGGTGTTTGTGTGTGCATTTCTAGTTTAATTTTTTTTTGAACTTTCATCGTTAATCGAATTTCATTGAGTCGTATAACACAATATTGACAGACAACTTCATTACTCAGACCTTTTTCTTCTATTTGTTGAAAGACCTTGGTACGTCACTGAAATCGTTTATGTAAGATAAATACAATGCAGTTGAATTACCCAGTGACATTGATCTCTTAAATTATTAATATATCAATTCATTATTTCGACTTCGATCAAACCTGATTTATCCATAATGATTAACATCAAATAACATAGCCTAAGGTATATGATCCACATTTATCACAGCAATAGAATATGTTGTAAATACAGGAAATCTGCAATTTTTCGTAATGTATAATTATTTAAAAATATTACTCCCATTAAGTTCTGTTTAAATATAGCATTGGTTAAGAGGAAAATTCTAGCCGTCTCGAACAAACTGACTAAAAAATGTAAAATAGGATGCAATTAAAACAACAATTGTGTTAAGCGAGAATCTTCGTTGCGTGAGTGTATAAAAGACCTTTAAAATTGCTATTCAAATACACCAGACGGGAACGAATATGCAATTTTAAACAATTGAATGCTTTCAATTTAAACGATATATTTGTAATTTTAGATAAAACGTTTGAAGTTAAACTATCAATAAATTATTAATAGCAACTCTATATTATTTATACTATAGAATATATCAATTATAGTAAAAACGATATTTTGCTTTTTTTAAATTACTTTCATAATTACATTATTAACCACTAATATGATAATCAAGGAAAATGTGATTCAGATTACTAAAAAGCACAACGTTTATAATATTTATAAAGTGAATGTATTGTCAATGGCCAAAAGTTTTGAACTTTATTACAATTTCTAAAGTATAATAATATTTTTACATAAAAGGGAATTTAAAAAAATATATACTTAAAAAATAGTCGAAAAACTAATATAATATATACATTTATAGGAGTGCATACTTAATTTAACACCATTAATAATATTATCTTCAAGACATATAAAAATATAATACGAAGTGCTAAAGTAAACTTGTTAACTTACCTAGGTAATTTTTTAAAAATACATATTAAATTAATATTGTATTGATGTGATTACAACTATTTTAAATTATGTAGGTACAAAACTTGTATTTTACTACCTAAATTTAATTACTGTTTGGTAGTTTTTTTCTAATTTAAAGTTTATTATATTTTAAAAATAAAAATATAAATGTAATTATTTGATATTTTATTAAATCTTGGAACTACAATTGATTATTATTGGTTGGTTACAACTTACTTAGTGCCTTAAAACAAAATATTTGTGGCTAGATATAAAAATAGTTTTGCTTAAACGACTTTTATCTTTTGAACTAACTAAAACTTAATGAAATTAGCAATATTAGTTTTGGAATAAATATTAGTTATATCGTTTATAATATTATAAAAAAACTTGTTAACCTTTTATAGAGCATGATTACATTTTCATATAAATTAATATTTATCTTTAAAAAATGAATTCAAATTAACTATATGACAAAAAATTATTTTAGAAATGTCTGTAAAGTTCAATAATCATTTTCTTGATTTTATAACATGATTCATTACAACATGAAAAAAGTCACACCTTTTTTTGATAGTAATTTATAACTGTATTAAAAAGTTTGTTTTTTTATTTATGTGATGGGTGAGAATTTCAGTAAAACAATAAAATCTTTGAGCTTCTTTCATTGACTGAAAGCTGGAAGTAAGTAGGAGAAGTAGCTAGAAAGAAAAAGGAGGCTCGTAAATTTTGCAAGATAAGAGATTGGTTCTCAGCCAGGTGACTGTGTTCGTTGTTTGTTTTTTTTTTTTTTTTTGCTTCACTTAAAACCCTTGGGACCTACAGCCAACTCGTTCACGTGCCCTAGCGTCAAAATTAATTATTTGTTAACCCCATACTCATATATATATATAAATATACCACTTGCACTATAATGAGAAACTTTAATCTGGTTAAGTTTTACCATCACAAAATTAATTGCTACTACTGATCAATTTACCAAGCCCGTAAAATTGTGTAATTTCAACAGAACAACATCAATCTCTTTAACATTAAGTTCTAATCATATGTTAAATAGTGTGAAAGTCTATACATGGTAATGTGTAAATCTTGAGTGATCCAAATGCAATAAATATTACTTGAAAATCAAGAGATTTTAATATTTTGGTTTTGAGTAAAACTACAAATCTTTCGTTTTAACAATTATTTTTTGAACTTTTCTGAAAATTATTTTTTGGTTAAACAAGGCTATAAAATTTTAAAAAGAAGTATTATCTATCAATTGAAAATCAATCCTGTATTTTACCTATCCTTAGAAAAGATTTTTTTTTAAATTGTCTCAATAGTCACTATAGTTTCTTTAAGTGAAAAAAAACAATTAGAAACTATTATTACTAGCAAAATTAAACAAGCGTACTTAAATCAAAATTCTCTTTCAAATTAATTTTTTTAATATCACAACACAGATTTAACACACTGTTTCGGTGATCCATCATACTAAAATACCATCTCTTTTTTCAAATATACTATGGGAAATATATACACTTTAAAAATAAACTAAAAAAAATATCATTACTGAAAAATATAACATACTTCATAGCTTTACTTCTTAAAAATATGATATAAACCTAACGGTCTGCGTTTCTTTTGAACTCTTATATTAAAATAATTATCCCGCTTTTGTTTATGTGAATGCTCCATTATTATTTATGATTATGTATAAAATATTTTTGGAACCCATTTTTATGTTAAAATTTTAACTCTAGAAGTATTAAATAATTAAACTACTGCCATCGTTAACATTTTAAAAAATCGATACAATAAAAGATCTTTATATAAGGTATAAATTAACTTAGAAATATTGTTTGAATTGAAAAGAAAAATATTAGCTTTGCCCTGCTATAACCTTATTATACAAAAAGTATACCGATTACTTTTTCAACTTATATGTATTCTTGCCTTATAATTAATATAATGTGTATCATATTAAAAAATAATTTTTTATTATTTTTAATATACATAAATACATTTGCCACATTCTACATTTTCAAAACACAATTTTATTTTATCATTTATCAAAATGCGGAACTTAAAAAAAGAAATTTACTTTTAAATGGAAAATTCAATATTTATAACTTTATAATTGTTAAAAATTATAAAAATTAATGATGTGGGTAAATAAAAAAGTTAATTTATATTTCATTATTATGAAATAATTCATAAGATTTAATTTAATATATTAATATTAATGTTATAAAAATTATAGTAATTTTTTGATTTTTATAACTATATAATCCATGGTATAATAATATGCTGTAAGTTAATACTAAAATATATTTAATATTTATGAATTATACTATCTTGTTGGAAAGTCCAAATAATTTTACTGGTAATATAATCAAAATGTAAATAATATTACTTTATTATTAGTACTTATATAAAAATTGTATATTTTAATTTACGAGTATAAGGTGCCTACATCTTAAAAATGAACATAAATGGTGATTTATACAATTTTTATGAAAACTTCTAAAGTGATAATTTGGTATCATAAATTTTAAAAAACTTCTAATAGTTTTTCATATGTTATAAATTGTTATAAAATATATCTATTCATTTTTGCTATTACCAAATCGAATTAATTAATATATATATTAGCACATTTTAATTTTAAAAACTATTAATTCTTATTGATGAAATATGAAACTTTTGTGTAATTATTTATATTTTTTAAATTATAAAATTAATTTTTTTAAAGACCTTTGTTCTAAAAAATCATACAAATACAAGTTTAGTCATATGAAATTCAAACTTAGTGTTCAGCTAAATCTACACAATTTATAGTGAAAAAAAATTAAGTAATCCAACGAAAAATCACTAAAATTTCTCACTTTACCAAAGAAATAAAAATCACCAAAATCCACATATTAAATTTCTTTTCTATTGAACTATCCTTAAAAATCCTAACCACTGACTTCTTGTCAGAATCTAGTCTATCCCAATTAACCTGTCAGTAGCATTCCTGGGCAAGCACCCTTCTTTTATTCCACTATTGTAAATTCTTTTTCACCAAAATTACTTATTGTATAATACATATCCTTTAAAGATTGTCATTTGTTTTTAATAAACGTTTAAAATTTATATTCCTCTAAAATATAATGAAATTGAATGTATTATTGTGAACAGGTCATGTGATCATCTAAATACTTAGGTAGGTAATTCTAAAGTAAACTATCAAGTGTTCTTT